CAGTTCTATGGGGTTTTCTGGTCTTATCCCAGAAATACTCAAGAGTGTCATCTTGACAGAAACCTAGAAATAGGTCAGCCTGGTAAAGGGACCTGAGTCAAAAACTGGACCGTGAAGTTTTGGGTTCTAGTCCTGACTTTGAGCTCTCTAACTCAATGATCTTGTAGAAGACTGCCCCTTTGTGGACTTCGTTTTCTCATCTCCTTTTCCCTTCTCCCAAATCTTGGTGTAGTTCTACAAATTCTGTCTTTCTAAGACCCTTCTGTGCAGGCACCTTTAGCTGATACTATACTGAGAGTAACTCTCAGCACAAAAAGAGTACAGGCAAGGGATGAGGAATTTGGATAGGAAATCCATGCTTTTTGATGGGTTTACAGAAATCACACACAAGTCCATGCCAGTGTTGTCTTTAGAAGCAAATGTGAGCAGAATATATTCTGCTTCACCCCAGATTTTTGTTTTTTAAAGAAGGGGCCAAGAACACCAATACCCAAATCCCACTTGCTCTGTCATCCTCTGTAGAACTGAGATTAGAAAAATATAGTGCCCTCTCTACAGAAATATCCTGCCATCAAAATAACCAGAATGGGTTTTCCATGTGTTAATACCATCATCACCATTTAATTTTTAACATAAACTTTACAATATGTACAATTTTATTTGGATAATACACTTACGTGTGAATTGTAGAAATCAAGCATGTATACTATATACATGTGTACACGAGCATTTGTATGCACAGGGTAAGTGTGTCTGATCATTTCTGACCTATATCAGTGGCAAGCTGACCTTATCTGATACAATTAGATATGAACACAGTATGATATAAGGGCATTGAATGGGAAAGCGTAACTGCATATTGGGAAAACTTTTCAAGTATAGACCCCACATAAACTTTCGCTAAACACTTTCAACCCTGTTTACCAAAAGAAATGGAATATTTGGAAAGGCGATAATAAACAGCACTTTTGGAAAGAAAACCTCCTTTACATAGAACTCTTAACTCATATTAAAGATTGACCAAATGGGCTGGCCCGGTGGTGCACTCGGTAGAGTGCAGCGCTTGGGAGCATGGCGACCCTCCCACCGAGGGTTCGGATCCCATATAGAGACCAGTCCGCTCACTGATTGAGTGCGGTGCGGGCGCGATACTGAGGGTTGCGATCCCGTTACCAGTCACGAAAAAAGACAAAAAGGAAAAAAAAAAAAAAAGATCGACCAATGAATTTAGCTTCTACCTACTCAAGAAAATTTTTCTTGAAGTCTAATTATGTTTACTATAGCCATGGTTAATACAAACAAGCTCCATTTCAGAAACAACTTATGTCCTCTTTTCACGGATTCATGCGCAAAACAGCTATGCACAAAGAAACAACACAGGAATGTGCATAATGTTAATGAATATATTCAGTTCCTTTGAAAGATATTTAGGTTTCTCAAATTAGTACTTATTTAGTTCTTAAACCACAAGGGATTTCAGTGCAAGGTATTTATTTATATGACAATAGATTATTAAAGCTGCACTTTTTAGGTTTAAAGGAGATAAAATTTTAATCACCATTTAATTAACACCAACTTTATTTTATTTTATTTTTTTCTCTTTCATTAGCAATTCTATTTGCAAAGAATTCAGGGCATTTGTCATTTCCTGAGAAGGATGCAGAATATTAAATACACATCAGTGGTAGACATATCAACTAGAATAAACCATGTGTGACTGTATGACTGCCATGGATCTTTCGACTAATTAACTGCCTTGGCTGGAGTCCCATTTAAGTGAAACTATTTCATTTGTAAACAAGGTGTAATTTTCTTTCTTCTCCCCAGAAAATAAGTGTGAATTGATTTGACGAATTGCACGGCAATGAGTGAATTTGAATGCTTTCATCAGAAAATTTCGCTAAGTATTAAGACTTCTCAGGCACCTTATGAAACAGGGAAGAGAAAGCCAAGTATAATTAATGAGACACCCACTCAGGTGCTGGCTAAAATTATGCAGAGAGATTTACAGAGGTCAGAACAGTAATGAGGAGATTATAATCCTGCATTTCTCATGGAGGCTTCTCTGGCAGAAGGATAGACCCATTAAGGACTCACCTGCTCAGAGCTTTCAAACTGGAAGTGGCCTAAGAGCCTATAGGTGTAAGAATGATGAAAACTTCTCTGTACCAGCCAGCTGCCAAAAAACAAAAACTATTTTCCAGGAACACAAAGGTTCCCCAGAATAAAGTCTGTGCCCTAGAAGACTCTCTTATACAGAATATTTTAAATTTGCTTCATGTGCACACTGTTACCCATAGACAGAAACCTGACCATTTGCATTCAGATGCATCTGTCTGAGGACCAGTGGTTTTTCTTCTCAAGTGAGGAAAGCCATTTAGAGTTAATGAAATACCATTATGAATGGCCGCTCTGACTTAAGCCAGGTGAAACTTAGGCATTTGGATTCAGAGTCCAGCTCCTTGGCAACAAATCTAAGCTCTCAGAATTGGGATATGTCACAGGAGTCTTCTGTAACGGATCTGTAGTTCAGAGATTCCTATTTAGTTCTTGTCACCTCCCATATTGTAGATGCCGTTTTCCATTGGATATTATATTTCTGATATTCTATTTCCAAAGAACTAAACTGACTTGGATTACCTCTGAACATTATTATCTCTACATTATTATCTCTCACTTGGAAACTGATCTGATCAGTGGTTGATTTTCTTGTTTGAAATCATCACATTTAAGAGCCAGGGCAATAGTGGAGGGGGGAAAACATATTTATCATGTAGCATGAAATTTCTTATTATTAATTTTAAAAAGCATTTATTTATTTTAAAACACTTTGGATATTACATGAAATATATATATATTATTTGTAGTAAATATATATATATATATATTTACTACAGTAACGTTGGTTCTTCCAAAAGCCATAGTTTCTTTACCCAGAGATGTATGCGGTTAATAGCAGAAATAATGCTGTTATTAGAAGACTTTGATCTATGGAGTCAATCCAAAGTGTAATTTGCACCCTCCCTGGAGATCTTGGTGGCATTTGGCAGCCGCTTGGGTTTTGAAGATCCCAGAGGGAGACAGAAAGCCTCTCTGGATTGATGACATATCACCGCTCTGTGTTCTGGGGAGACTTTTTAATTCATTTCATGTCATGCCAGTCTTGTGAGGAAATGAAGGTGATCCTAGCTGGGGAAAGAAAGGTCTGGGACACAGAGGGAGGGAAGGCAAAGGCAGAAAGTGCCAAGAAACTACACAGCCACAGAAATTTAAATTTAAGATCAGAAATGGGTGTGACTGTCTCAGATCCTTCAATCTAGGCTTCTCCATTGCCGGGTCTTGGGGCAACAAAGGGACAGCATCCAAGAGATAAAATATAATCTCCAAATGCATTGGTCATCAGCAACTAGTCAGTCCTTTCTGCTGTTCAAAGATGACAGGAAGACCTCCTCTCCCATTGCGACCCTCCGTCTCTCAACCACTGACCCTGAAATTTATTGCAATCACTTTTCATCACAATGGGAATATGCTGCTTTCCCCAAGATGGAGCCATTGAATATATCCTTGAGCTCTAAGGGAATCGTTTGTTCACTTACAGGAAAATGCCACCTACAAAACAGAACACATCGGGGGAAAAGAAGCAGCATAATTTTTCAACCTGCCACTTGTCCTCTTCTCCAAGAGTGTAAAGCAAAATGCATGAGGATACCGGGGCATGGCCAGGGTAATTATGTTAGCTTTTGGTTTCTGCAGCATGTCACCAGATAGACTGAGGTCCTCCACAAAAATCGATGGCTAGTTATCCCAAATATTTTGAAATTATTAATGTATTAAAATATACTAAATAGCAGAACAGGACTATATAGAATGTTTAGTTAATATTGTTTGCTGTCTTTATGATATTTAATTTTTAAATTAGAAAATCGTGATCTGATAAAGTGTCATAACATAAGAACTACTTTTTTTGAGGGATACTTTTTATGTGGCAGGCACTGTGCTAAGAAGCTTTTTATGCACAAATATTCCCCCCTCTCTCTCCAACTGTTTTTGTGTGAGTGTCCTTTTAAATCATACACACAGAGGTTTGAGTAGTATAAGAATGGGTTAATGCAGGTGACTTGGAAATGACAAATGCTTTGAGGAATTTTTTATATATCTCTGTTGGTGCTGGTGAAGCAGTTTGTCTCCAATAGACAGAATATTTCAGGAAAGAGAAAGCACTTGTCTCACTAAACTTTATGCACAGTTTGGAGGATGCTCAGGGTAGATGCTTGAGTGTCTCACATTTTGAAGCCTTTTGATTTGAGGAGGTTGGGGTGGAAATGAATGTCCACCAGAATTTCATGACATTGGGGAAGATAGACCTAAAACCATGCTGGCCTTCGGCAGACAGATGGCACCATATTTCTTACAGATCACAGTATGCATATGGCTGTTGGCGCATGTCACCACATTAACAACTCTGGGCACAGCAACACACAGCTAGTTGGACACCACCATGGCTGTTGGGGACTGAATGAGTTATGGTTACTCTGGGAGGGAAGGGGTAACAGATACTATACAACCCTGAGTCATCACCAGGAGGGAGGAAATGCAAACTTACGTACATGGGAGTCTTCGAGATAAACTAGAACGGCCACTGTGTCATAGACAGAAGATCCACATTTAGATAGTGAAGACATAAACGTGTTAGTTTATGCAGCTCGGGACAAGACCACCGAAGCCGAGGGTGAGAAACACACAGATCAACATCCAAAGAGATTCTTGCAGCTCTCCGCCCAAGGGTCCCTCTGGCTTCTTGCTCCAGACGTGTCATGGACTATAATGAAGGTAACATAGTTACCACGAACACACTAATCTCCTATTCTTTGGGGTGGGGGGGAGCCTGGAGTTCTTGGGGTTGAACCTGGGCTGTGATAGAAGGCATAACAATAAAGCTAAAACTGTTACAAGCCGAACTTCCTAATCTCTTGCGCGTATCAGTCTCACTACAGTGCAGATGCATTCTTAACTGTTTTATTTTGTCTGTGTCAGATTTACATGCATACCATATTGCTTATTCTGTATGAGAGAAATTGTTAGGCATTTCTGATGAGGAAATTACATGGTGGACTGATCTTAATGGAATTTGGAATATAGGAAATCATGACAACACCATTGGCATTCAATTCATACTTATTGCCAACACACCTAGCAGGCATGTCCAAAAGACTTGCCCTTATTTATTTGTTTTTTGGTTAAGGACTCACCTATCTGGTATCTGCCATGCTCAGCACACACCTTACAAGATTCCTTGAGTGGAAGATTATGGCATGGAGCCATGTGCAAAAGAGCCAACAAAAAATACCTCCCTAAATTCTCTTCCTCTCAGCAGGGCACTATTGGACATCCAATATGTACCCTCCAGAACGATGGCCATTACATGTGTTTCCCTATAGATAAAACATTAATGGAAGATTTTAAACATCAGATTCAATACTAGGCATTTTCTTGTACACACGTCTATTGCTGCAGGAATTTAAAACCCTGGGGGTAGAGTACATATTATTCTTATTTGCAGCATAAGGCATAACATGCTCCGAAATATACACATCATTGTGGCCCCGACTGTCCCTGGAACAGTATGATGCTGTTGACCTCAAGGACGATCGAAGATAGCTGTCATTCACTGCCTGGGATGGCAACGAGTGTTTATAAGGGTCCGAGGGGCACCTCCCAATAACTAAGCGTTGGTCATCCCCGTAGGAGTGGAGGAAAGGATTATCGGAAGTGTGGTCTGGCAAGAGAGACTTGCTCCTCTTACTGTCCTCCAGACCTTGGGGGAAGAGGGAGTTTTTGTTCCCCAAGAGTTTGCTTGAGGGGACACTAAACAGGCTCCCATACAAATTTCCCTCCAGAAGCCGTTCCCTGTCCTTGAGGCTTATGCTCCGGGAGGGCCTGCTAAGGTCTATCTCCCTAGGGTTGTCGAGAATGTTATCGTAGGAATGCTGACGGCTAATCCTCAGCTTGTTCTTTTGGAATTGGAGGGCATTGTTCTGTGCCCAGTCCTGCTGGTAGGCCTCCTCCTGGGTGGCTGGGTTACCTGTCTCCTGAAGCATCTGGTCTTCATCAATGTCGTAGAGGTTCCGCATCCGCAGGCAGGCATCACACTTGAAAGGGGATCTCATGGTGAAATGGCCAGAATAGGTGGGCAGGTTGGAAAGGCAGCTCCTGCAGTGTGTGGAGTTCTGCCGGTAGCGGTCACTGCCCTCGCTGTGAGGGGAACCCTTCTCTTTCAAGGTGAAGTGCTTGGAGTAGAGTTTATAATGGTCGTTGTTGGGAAGCCCATCTTCATTATGTGGAGGGTTCCTGTTCAACGGCAGCGTGGAGTTCCCCTTGCGGAAGTTGTCATTGTGATCCTGGTAGGTGTTGGGGAAGTCCACGTTCTCAGGAAGGCCCATGTTTTCCATGAACTGGGGAGGATCTAAGTGGAAACTGGGCTCCTTCTCACCATCGATGGTGTAGATCTTGTCCCTGGGGGAGCTTGCTTTGGTTTTCAGATAGGAGCGTTCAACCTCGCTACAGTCCTTGGGGTATTTGGAGGCCATGGACCTTTTGAAGTTGTCCTTAGTTTTGTGGTTCTTATTGTTGTCAGGTTCCCTGTGGCATGTGGCCCGACTTGAAGTTTCTGAGATGTCAGAATGGGCCACCTCCTCTGGAAGGTACCTAGGGCTCTTTAGGGAGTGGGTCCTATTCTCTACTGTCCCCTCATCCCTTTGGGAGGCCGGATTCTGGCTCAGTGAATCCTGGCGTAGAGACTCCATAGATTTCTTCCAAAGCTGCCGGGGTCTGGAGTTCCCTTTGGATTCTGTGCTCACAGCCACCTCCACCGTGTTAGGGTTGGACTCATTGAGAGTCAGAGGGTGTTGTCCCTGGAACACATAGTTATTGAGGTTATCCTTGTGCCTGTTGGCCACAAATGTTTGGAGTTCATTCATGTTGTCCCCAAAAATGCTGTCCTTCCCTTGAAAGGACCTGTTGTCTGAGTATATCAAATTCCCCTTATCAGAAACCATGTCCATGATGATGGAACCTCTTTGGATAAAGTCAGCAGCTCTTTTAGGGGAGTCCATTCTTGAGGAGTTCATGTTGGACATGTTGGAAATGTTTTTGGCTGACCGAAGGAGCTTTAACATGTTGCTCTGGGATCCGGTCAGATTGAAGTCTGGAGACTTCTTCTTTTCTTCAATGTGCACTCCGTGAATGCAGCTGTAGATGCCCTGTGGGGGAGGAACATGAAACACCATCAGCAGCAGCAGTGGACGTGAAACCATTTCACACCTGAACTTTACCTGCAAAGGTGAGATATATACTTGTGATAGGGGCCCTGGAAAAATAGTGAAATTCAGTCTGAATCCTGATAATGTTTCTGAAATGTGTAAGACAAGTGGCAAGGCATCAGGTTGATTTATCGCTCTGGTTCAGTATTTTATCTGACACCCTTGCAAAGAGTCACACACGGAGTTCAACTGGTGCTCATACAACTATAAATGTCTCAGCACCTCCGCATCGGCATCTAAGGATACTTAACTGACCCTCCCAAAACCAAGGTCATGCTTTTATTAAAGTTTTCTAGCATCCCCTTGGAGTTTGGACACCAGAGAGCTAATTATTGACAACCAAACTATATCAGCATAAAAGGATCACCTGTTATTAATAGTGATCCTTTTCAAGAATTACCCCTACCCATACACCGAAGCTGTCAATCAAGGCGCATGACCCAAGCAGACCATTTAGAAAATCTTTCCTCCTTGGGCCGGCCCGGTGGTGCACTGCTACAGTGCGCTGCTTGGGAGTGCGGTGGCGCTCCCGCCGAGGGTTCGGATCCCACATACAGACCGGCCGCTCACTGGCTGAGCGAGGTGCGGGCGCAATGCCGAGGGTTGCGATCCCATTGCCGGTCACAAAAAAAGACAAAAAAAGACAAAAAAAAAAAAAAAAGAAAATCTTTCCTCCTTGAACACATTGATTAGTCTAAAGGAAGGCATGAAATCCATGTGAAGACAATCAGAGTCTTTTTGGAGGGAAAGATATAGATGCTCGGATAGAAGGAGGAGTCACAGGGGACTAGTCTTGCCATCATGTGGGGACACTGGCCCGAGAGTGAAGCCATCGTAGTGAAAAGCAGAGCCCAAGGGATAGAGAGAGACATGGTTTGAACCCCTGCAACCACTCTTGGACTTTTTACTTAATCCACTCAGTATATTCTTTGTGTGTCTGTTTGTGAATCTGTTCATTATAGTTAGAACTGGGTTTTAGTTACTAGTAATAGTGAAGAGTTCTGATGACATAGTGATGCCACCTTTAAATCCATCCAGAGAATTAAAGGACTTTGGGACCCCTGGGTCAAATACAAGCACCCCCATCTACAGGTCTCTCCATTTTTCACTACTTCTTCCTTTGTTAAAAATAACTGTTTTTCTTCATTTAAAAGCAACTGCTTAACTATTATCAAGGGAAGAACTCTTGATTCATGATACAATCACAGGCAAAAGGGCATCAGTCACATTTTGATTGTGGTCTTCCCTGCTTTTTCACTCCTATTCCAGATTTTGGTAGCCACAAAGGAAACAATCAGATCAAAGCTGCAGGACTTGACCTGGTCCTCCCAAGATTGACAGGGAGCCAGCCCAAGAAAGAGTCTATAAAGCAGATCCAGCAGTTGCTGCTGACTTTGGTATAAACTACAGGCAAATGTGTATGATTAACTGTGGACTCTGCTAATGGTGGCTCCACCAGTCCCCCATGGCGGGGATGAGCTTACCCCACAGGGATGCTCATGGAACTGTGACAGCCTTAACTCATCTGCACTGCTACATTTTTCTTGTAGTTTGCTAAAGACAGTCTCCACTCCAGCCTTCAAGGAATGGTAAACAGAAAAGCCTACGGTTGTGAGTTTGAGCTTCTCTTTCTCTGATCCTTTCAATGCCAATCTTCATGGTTACGGCTCCCTGCGGCCCTAAGTGCTGGCATCACACCCCTCCCTACCTCCCTGCAACCTTATCTTTTGTCTCTTCTAGGTTGTTTGTGGTTGGCTGTTCATCCTGCCACAAAACAACATTGACATCCCCTTTGCTTCCAAGGTGGCTGGAGCATCCAGACTGTGGGTGTGAAAATCATACAAGTGTGCCATGTGCTTCTTACCCTTTCATGTTAACCTAGGTCTTCCTGTCCAACTTAGCTATATAATAATCTTATACTCTGACCTAGAGGAATTTTTTACTATGGGTGAAAATCAGTCTATCTCCTAAGTGCCAGAATCAGCTGAGGTCTGTGCCTGTTCTTCCTGTTGTTAGTATGATGAAAACAGTAGTTAATTTTTTTTTCTAAATTTGCAGTTTTATTCTAGCAAGCTCCCCTCTTCCCCCTGCAGATTGTAGGAGCTGCCCTACATCCCTTCATTCTCAGAACAATATGCGCTCCTGCCTGCCAAGATGAGCTGGCTGTCTTTCTACCTGGAGGAGGCACATAAACTGCCTTCTCTCCTCCCTGGTTTCCTCGGGATTCATACGACATAGCTAAGGCCGTCCCCAGGTGTTGTTGATCTGCCAGATGAAACCACAGAAAGGAGTCAAACTGATAGATCCAGCCTGTACCCCAGGTTTTGATGGCAGCATTCTACACTAGAGTAGACACATTGTCTACATGGGCTGTTGAGGAGGGGGAGTGCTTGGTACAGAATGACAGGAAGAGTCAGACGCCTGGAACCCACTGGGTGTGAGTCCCAGCACCATCATTTATTAGCTCAGTGGCCTTGGATAAGCCACTAGATCGATTTGAGCCTCAATTTGCACATCTGTAGAATGGGAATTATATGCTCCTAATTGGGCTCTGAGGCAAGATAAAATAATGCAGATAAAGCACCTGATACTATAGGTGCTCAATCAATGCAAGATGGACGAGCTGCTCAGTCACCTCCCACCTACCCTATTTTATTGTCATTTCATCTCTTTCCCTGTTCACATGAGCTTGAGCATGGACTGTCCACTTTTTCCAAGCTAAAGAAGTGTGTGCTATTCTCTGCAACTTAAGGTTTGCTCTGGAAAGCCACTTTGGCTTTCTGGTTAGATGAGCAGCCCAAACCTTACCTCGGGAGCCAAATACATCCCTGGGCTAGAGTTTCTTTATTCCCTGGACAGTTCTACCTTTCTTTTCTTTTTTCTGTTATTCATAGATTCTGTTTACTTTTTATGGATTGTGGAAATAAGATGCCCTCTTGGTTGCATAGTATGCTCAGAGTCACACAAAATTAGCAATCAATGTGCAATCAATGTGTGTGTGAATCAATGTGCTTCAGACAATTTGCTCTGCTTCCCCAGAGGGTGCCTGAACTCTCAGAACGTTCTCAGTGGGGCATGGGCTCTGCTGTCCTTCTTGGTCCCTTGGAGCCTGGGCCCGATCCCTAAAGTGTCTGCCTTCCATTGGTCCCAATTTTGGATTAGCCTGAAGCTCCTCCCGTTCCATTTCCAAGCTCCCCCGTCTGATCTCATGGGGAAGGCTGCCACGGTTTCCAGCCTCCTGGTCTTTGACTTCACTACGTCTCCTATTTCTCACATCTTGGGAGACAACCAAGGCAGTTCTTTCTGCTGGTGACAGTGAATATTTCTTTCTAAATGGGAGAGAAAGCATTTTGGAGAGAAAACAAAAGTTAAGAGCATCTCACAGACAGAAGGATGCATTTTTGTAAGTCGTCAAAGACAAGGGCCATAGCTGTGGGAGAAGACTAGTTCCAATGTCAGATAAATGTCTTCCTTGAGCTCTGGCCATCTCCCTTGGCAGTGCCAGGAGCACAAGTCTCTTGGTCCTGCACTTGTGTTGCATTATCCAGGAACTTCTCAAGAGACATAGAGCCCACGAGGAGGGCTACGTGTGTCTGCTGCATGGTAATAGCTATAAGTCTACTGGCTGGATGTGCAATGTGCTGAAAGGAGGAGAGTGGAGAGTTCCAGCTTCTGTGCAGGAATAAACCTGCCCAGAGTGAGAAGTAAATTTCAGTGCATCCTGGATCAACAATCTCTAAGAAAGAAGCCTAAACTCTGGAATTGACTAAAGTATGCAACCCAACCCTGCATAAACAGATAATTTTCATCTTTCATGCTTTTTTCTGGTGTGAAAGATGAAGTGAAAAGAGCCCTGTTGTTTCAAGGAAACATACAGTAAAGTCCCATTCTGACCTTTGGGGCCTCAGTTTCTCCATCTATAGGATGGGTGTGACCATACCACCTCACAGGGTGTTGTGAGGATTAGAGATAACAGAGGAAATATACCCAGCCCAGGCCCTTTCTCACACACTAGGCATCATTCATTGTGTACTTGTGATCTTGCACTTTTGGAAGAAGGTTTTTTGCTTGGGAATTCCCCACTACAGATTTTGTTAAAGAAAATGGTTGTGTGTGCAGAATGAACACACTTCTGTTTTGGTGTGTGCTCTCTGTGGGGTATGAGTAAGCATATATGTAGGATAACATACATGTGAATGTACATAGAAGACAAGCTTTAGAGGTGGCGGTAGCCCTTGACTAGAAAGGAAGGATATTTTTTAGCAACCTAGAGCTTTGCTGTGCATAGCATCAGGAGCTGTGCCTATTCTGAGTTCCCCTAGTAAACAAGAAAGGCAGGAAGGTATTATTACGTATGAGACCTTCCCATTCATACATATCAGGCTGCACTTATTTTAAAAGACACATACTATCTGGGGAGAAGAAATATCAGTGCTCAAGTAGGGCTCCCTGTAGTCTTCGAAGATATAGCAGTGATGGTGGATGGGAGTCCCCAGGGGAGCACAGAAGTCCCCACATTGCTTTCATGGGACTTGGGGCCCTTTATCCTTTAGGGAGGGAGAGGCTGAAGTGCAAATTCCAGCCCATTAAGCAACAACACTCACAACGCCTGGTCCTGGGCTACCTCGTTCTCCCTCCATTCTGTCCCTCAAGATGCTTGGAAAGGGAATGAGGGATTTAGTTCATTTCTCATAATGATGATCTTATCAACTTAGCTTCCTTAATGGTGTCTCAGACAGAGGAAACGCTTTTCCCAAAACAAGCAGGATTTATAAGTAAGTGCAACAGTGCACATTTGCTCAGCGATACTCCCAGAGTCATTTGGATCTGAAAAGCCTCTTGTAATTGGCTGAGAGAATTAGCTTAAGGTTGGCATAATACCTAGCTATACGCATGCATGTTGTTATTTTTAAGCAATCCGTGTGTTTAGATGCCATCAAGCTAATTAGGAAATATGTATTTGCACAGAACCCAAGTTTGGAGTGCAATTTGAATGGAGAAAATATATCTTCCTCATCAGCTAATGTGTACCTTCTGAATCTCCGAGGTTCTTGAAATTACCAGATGCTAAGAATACACAAATTTATTTTAAAGCAATTATTTAGTTTTCCCAATAAACATTGGCAAAGAAAATTAGATGTTTTTAACTAAAAATTTTTCACCATGTTTCAAATTCTAATTCATTAAGCTCTTCCAGGGTGAAAAAAAAAATCACCAAGATGGGCAAATAGGAGAAACAGGTAGATAAACATAAGGATGGATAGATGACTGACTGAATGGGTAGACAGATGGATAGATGGATGAATAGGTAGGTAGTTAGGTAGATAGATAGATGGGGGTGGATGGACAGATGGATGGATGGATGGAAAGACAGGCAGACTGATTGATTGGTTATACTTTGTTGGAAGATGTGTGAACAATACGTATGCATTTATGTGCTTATATTATGATGCAAGTAAGTGACTAAGTTGTGTTGCATGTGTGAACATATATTATGTGAGTTGCATGCACATATATGTTCATAGTATGAACTGTATCAAATCTCTTATGTTGCTTCTGCTTGATATTTATCACAAAAGAGTGCAGGCTTTGGATGGTGCCACACCTTCTGGATTCAAATCATGGCTCCACCTTACTGGCTGTGTCGCCTGGGGTAACTCCTTTAACCTCATGCCTTTGAGTTTTGGCATTTGTAATCTGGGACTAATAACAATCCCTACTTCATAGTGTTGGTTTGTAAATTAAATAAGATGAAGAATATCAAGCCCCATATCAAGTATGGCGCTTGGCACATAAAAGTGCTCTGTAAATAAAAGCATTCCCATGGCCATTACCAGTCTTGACAGATTATGTCACATGTACCTTGATGGCAAATACACATGCCATATTGTGCTGTGAGAGAGGAGGTTTTCCTGTATTGCACCTGAGCTCACTATGGCATGTGTATTCTGTGCTGTTGTTTATGTTGGGTTGAATGTGTGTTTTGTTTTCTGTTTGATATTGTGTGCATTTTCTTCTGGTACTTTACATCTGTGCTTCATTTCAGGCTCTATTGCATTACACACGCTCTTTGTGTTTTGTTAGATGTGTATAAATATTGCATAACATTGCATGTAGATTTTGTTTTGTTAGGCGTGTTCTGTTGCAATGCACACATAAATTGTAACATCCTGTATAAGAGTGTTAGCAGTGTTGTGTAGCATACCTGGGTGCTATGATGGTGGCCACAGGTTGGCTTTGTTTGGCTCATGCATTTTTGTTGAGGTTTTTTTTTTTTTTTATAGAATTAACTACTAATATTTAAAAATGAAAAGGTTTCTTTTAAAAACCACAAGACCTGATAATATTGACCCTATGTTCCCATAAGACCATACTCATCAGGAGTTGAGAATGGCTGCCCCCTCTAGGTGTGGTAAACATTATGCAATTTGCCATAGTCCCCAGCATTCCCTACTGTTCCCTCATGTTGACACCTAGGTTCAGTTGCTGTTTCATCTCATACAACCTACCGCATCCATCCCCATTCCTTTTCTGGCTTCTACAGTCATCTAGGTTTACAACTCCTGGCTTATGAATGCACAGAGTCCGACAATCCCAAGAAGGGTTGGTGAGTGAGGAAAGCATGTGCAGACCCCACGGAGAAGTCAAGAATCCCTGATTCTCTGGAAGCTCCCTGCTTTTTTAGCCCTGCCCATTGCACAAGGAGGTAGCCCCGGGTACTGACCCTGCTGATGGAGAATAGCAAGCCTGGCCGGTCAGAGCACACGCCCGTGAAACAGAAGCGCAGCTTCCAGTAGAAGAGATGCTCCCAGATGAAGGTAATGAGGCTGAGGGCCATGGCGGCTGCCAGCATGTAGAACACACCCGCCATGTTGTCGATGTCCAGCTGGCTGCTCATCACCTCGTTCTTCTCGTTGTGGCAGATGCCCGTGAGCCACAGTGTCTCCAGCTCCTCCATTTCACCTGCATGGAATACAACATCCACAGGCAGTGAGGACCAGAGTATGCACTGTCGGGCAGATGCCTTTGGGTTTGGGACAGACATGTGACTTACAGCTGTGTAATCTTAAGGCAAGTTACTGAGCTCTCCCATCTCCATTTGGTCACTTGTCGGGGGGGCGGTCAATGGATACAAAATTGTATAGAGACGGGAAGAATAAAGAAGCCTAGTATTCTATAGCAATACAGGGAAACTACAGCCAACAACAAATTACTGTATAACTTCAAATAGCTAGTCGAGAGGATGTTGAATGTGCCCAACACAAAGAGGTAACAAATATTTGAGGTGATGGATATGTTAAATACCCTGATGTGTCATTGCACACTGTATAACTGTACCCAAATATCCATATATCACATTCTACTCCATAAATACATAACAATTATCATGAGTCAATTAAAAAAATTAATTAAAAAGAAAAAAATTTGGAGACAGAAGTAAATAGAGGTTTCCAGAAACTGGGAGGAAGGAATAATGAAAAGTTATTGCTTCATGGGTACAGAGTTTATGTTTAGGATGATGAAAACGTTTTGGAAATAGGTGGAGGTAGTGGTTACACAGCATTGTGAATGTAATTAATTCCACGCAATTGTATGTTTAAAAATGCTTAAAATGGCAATCTTTATGTTTTACATATTTTTAAAAATGAGTTTGTGTTTTATTTATTTATTTATTTATTTTGGTGGCTGTCTGGTATGGTATCCAAACACTTGACCTTGGTGTTATCAGTACCATGCTCTAACCAAGTGAGCTAACTGGCCAGCTCTGTTATATATATTTCACCACTATTAAAAAAGGTAATATTAACAACACCTATCTAACACCATTGCAGTGAGGATGAAATTAGATAAAATACACAGCGAATTTACCACAGTTCCTGGTTTTGCTTTTTGGGTTGTGTGTCTGTGTGTGTGTGTGTGTGTCCTTTTCTGTGGGGGGGAGGGGAGTGTTATGTTCTTCCCACCTTGCTTTTCTCGACCCTTGCCCTACCACCCACCAAAGCTCGAAATATGCTACAGTGTTCCAAGCAAACAGGCAACATGCTTCAGTGTAAAGGTTTTATTTTAATTCTGACTTCATCATTTACTGGCTGTGTGATCTTGGAGCCACAGTTATCCCGTCTGTAAAAAGGGTATAATAAAAGTGCACACTTCATAGAGTTATGGTGGGAGTCAAATGATACCACCATGAGTAAAATCCCTAAAGTGCCTGGCTCATAAATAGTAAGTTCTTATTTAAATAGCTTTTGCTATTATTTATTCTTCTGAAGAAAACACCTAACACACTGCCCGGCATATGGTAGTCCTTAAATACATTAGCTTCTTCTTTCCTGTTTCTTTAGAACATTTAGGTTTACTCTGCAGTTTACATTAGCGTTAAGTCTTTGTGTTGTACAGTTGTATTTATTTTGTCAAATGTTCGATGTCATGTATTCACCATTACAGTACTACAGACTAGTTTTACTGCCCTAAAAATCCCCTTTGCTCCACCTATTCGTCCCTGCCCATGACCCCTCCCAATCCCTGTGACCACTGATCTTTTAACTGTCTCTATAATTTTGCCTTTTCCAGAATATCATATGGTCGAAGGCGAATAGTACGCAGCCTTTTTAATCAGGCTTCTTTTTCTTAGCAATATGCATTTTATGTTCCTCCATCTCTTTTTTTGACTTGATAGCTTATTTCTTTTAATCAACTGAACATTTCATTGTGTGGATGTACAGTTTCTTCATCCATGCACCTATTCAAGGACATCTTGATTGCTTCAACTTTTGCAAATATGAATAAAGTTTGTTTTTATGTGCAGTCTTTGTGTTGACATAAATTTTTTTAATTTTAGTTCTCAATATACATTGTAGTTGATTTTCATGCCCCTTTACCCGTTCCTCTCCACCTCCCCATCATATCTGTTCACTTGACTTAAGTAGTTCAAAGAATTTTTGTGGTTATTCTGTCTTCTCCACCCCCCCCATCTGTTTCTGTGTTTATTTATTTATTTATTTTTAGCTACCACAAATAAGTGAGAACATGTGGTATTTCTCTTTCTGTGCCTGACTTGGTTTGCTTAATATAATTTTCTCTAAGTCCATCCACATTGTTGTGAATGGTAGTATTTTGTTCTTTTTTACAGCAGAGTAGTATTCCATTGTGTAGATATACCACATTTTCCATATCCAGTCATCAGATGATGGACATTTGGGCCAGTTCCAGCTCTTGGCTATTGTAAATAGAGCTGCAATAAACATTGGAGTACAGGTATCCCTTCGGCACGATGATTTCCATTCCTCTGGGTATATTCCCAACAGTGGGATAGCTGGGTCATATGGTAGATCTATCTGCAATTGTTTGAGGAACCTCTATACCATTTTCCATAAGGGCTGCACCATTTTGCAGCCCTACCAACAGTGTATGAGAGTTCCTTTTTCTCTGCAACTTCACCAGCATTTATCATTCTCAGTCTTTTCGATATTAGCCATCCTAACTGGGGTGAGGTGGTATCTCAAAGTGGTCTTGATTTGCATTTCCCAAATGCCGCGTGAGGTTGAGTATTTTTTCATGTGTTTGTTGGTCATTTGCATATCTTCCTTTAAGAAATGCCTATTCAGTTCCTTTGCCCATTTTTTAATTGGGTTATTTGGGGTTTTTTTGTTGTTGTAAAGTTGTTTGAGTTCCTTATATATTCTGGATATTAATCCTTGGTCAGATGGTATATTTTACAAATATTTTCTCCCACTTTGTTGGTTGTCTTTTTACTCTGTTGGTTGTTCATATTTTACAAATATTTTCTCCCACTTTGTTGGTTGTCTTTTTACTCTGTTGGTTGTTCCTTTTGCTGTGTAGAAGCTTTTTAGTTTGATATAATCCCATTTGTTTATTTTTCCTATAGTTTTCTATGCTTTTGGTCTCCTATTCATGAAGTCTGTACCCACTCCTACTTCCTGGAGTGTTTCCCCTATGTTTTCTTTAAGGAGTTTTATTGTTTTGGGATGTATATTAAATTCTTTAATCCATTTTGAGTTGATTTTGGTATCTGGTGAAAGGTAGGGGTCTAGTTTCATTCTCCTACATACGAGTATCCAATTTTCCCAGCAACACTTATTGAAAAGGCAGTCTCTTCCCCAGTAGGTAGATTTGCTGCCTCTGTCAAAGATCAGATGGCTGTAGGCATATGGATTGATTTCTGGGTTCCCTATTTTATTGTATGGACATAAATTTTAAGTTCATTTGGGTAAATATATAGGAGCATTATTGTTGGATTGTACAGTAAGACTATGCTTGGCTTTGTAGAATACTGCCAACCTGTCTTCCAAAGTGGCTGTCCCATTTTGTATTCCCGGCAGCAACGAATAGGAGTCCCTGTTACTCCACATTCTCACCAGCATTGACTACAGTTGTCATTGTTTGCCATTTGGGCCATTCTAATAGAGAAGTAGTGCTATCTTATTATTTTAATTTGCAATTCCCTAATAAATTATAACAGTTCTACCCTTTTTTATTTATTTATTTTTTCCTGAAAATTTTGTTTAAAATATTCTGGACCTTCTCATTATTTCCTCTAGATTTAAACTTGTTTTAATATTTTGCATTTCTTTTTCTGTCTGTGCTGCTTTGGATAATTCCCACAGATCCATTTTCTAGTTCATTTATTCTTTCATTAGTAATATTTAGTATTACATTTTAATTTTAATCTATTTATTTTAATTGTGACATTCGTTTGGCTCTTTTACAGTTCTGATTGTTATTTTTATCATAATATTCCATCCTTTTGTTATGATTTTTAAAAACTTTTATAGATTTAATAATTTCAAACCTATAATCTTTCAGATTATTCTCCCTTCCTCGCCTACCTTAGTTCTTGGGATTCTCATCTTTTGTATGTTGCATGTTCTGAATCTCATCGTGGGGAACTTTCTTGTGACATTTGCAACTTTTGACCATGAGCTAATCTTCAGCAGAGTTAGTCTCCCTCTAAATCTCACAGGACTCCCGCAAACACTAGATTATAGAAATGTCCCCACAGAGGGTTTCTGGGTTTGCTTCTGCCATGGCTCCAGGGGTTTTCAATGTACCAGTTTTTCTATGAAACATTTTTACTGTGATTACTGCACCATTTAAGTACCATACATTTGCACTCTCATACTCATTTGGGTTTTAATTTCTCACTCAGAGCTCCAAACAGATGGCAAACCTCCCTGCATTTTCTTCACATTAATGGACAGAGATTTTCCTAGTCTCCTTTTTACAGACCAAGTGATTCACTGAAGTTCTCAGATTTGTTAATCAGGGGAAAAAAAGCATACCTATTAATGGGATTTTAAAAGTAGGAAAACCATCCCCTTATAAGTTCTTCACCCACAAAGAGAGGTGCTGATTATTTAGGGGTATATAAGCAAAGTATGGGAAGGGCATATCTCAATTCAACTCCAACAGTCTCCAGCATTTTCACATTGTCCCTGCAACACCACCACAAACTCATCCAAATTCCTCTGCCTGCTATGTGGCTGGAGACTCACAAGATTGCCTCCTCTTCTAACAAAAATCACTAGTGCCACCAAAGTACAATGTACTATCAACATCCTCCTCCTATTGGAGTTTATGAGGACACAAAAAATGGGTCTTCTCACCATGATTCAAATTCCCAGCCCATCTTCTGCTACAGTTTGAATGTGTCCCCCAAAGTTCATGTGTTGGAAACTTAATTCCCAATGCAACAGTGTTGGGAGGTGGGGCCTAATAAGGGGTGATTAGGTCATGAAGGCTCTGTCCTCATAAATGGTTTAATGTAGTTATCATGGGAGTGGGTTAGTTATTGCTAGAGTGGGTTGTTATAAAGCCCAGCTAGGCCCCCTCTTGTTCTCTTATATCCTCTCGACCTTCTGCTTTCCTCTATGGGATGATGAAGCAAGAAGGTCCTCAGCAGAGGCAGATGCCTCAACCTTGGACTTCCTAGCCTCCAGAAGTGT